ATTTGACCAATGATGGTTTCGACATATTAATTTGGTAGAAATTGAATGAAATAAGTACAAGATTGTCTCCCAAAATGCCAAAGACGTGTTAGTCATTCAAATATCTACAGTTGCTTCTAAGTCTATATTTTCTACTTGTAGTCGGATTCTCGATTCTTTTAGGAGTTCATTGAGTGCAAAGATAATTGAGGCGATGATTTGCACTAAGAATTGGTTACGCAATAATAAGGAACCTATAGTAATTCGTCAATATTTGGATGGAGTAGAAGTATTGGATGATTCAGAAAAAGTCGTGTAAGGTATTATCGTATTTGATCTTTCTATTCATTTTATTTTATAGCTTTTTTACACCATTAATTGTAATAAATGAATATATTTGTTATATTCTTATCTATATACAGAGTATGAATCATGTTTTACCACTGGAGATGTTGCATCAATTAATATTGATCAAGATGTTGCATTGAATTTTTAGGAGTGAAAAACATTTGTTTATAATATTCGTAATAATACTAATATATTTTAATGTGATATGTAAGATTAATATTTATGATTTAACTTGTTCGATGTACAATTTTTTATTAAATCGAACCAAACCGGAAAAGGTGGTTTGGATTTGTTTGGTTTGATTTGAAATTTAATTGAAGTGGTTTGGTTTGTTTCAAAAAATTTCAAACCCCTTTAAGCGGTTTGATTTGAAAATTTGTTACAAACCGACCAAGTTGAACCGTGTTCAACCCTACTATTTACTCGAAGGATATGGAAAACTGATATAAATAGCACTAAATTGGATGGTCTATGATTCGTATCAATTTTATGGGTTAAGACTTAAGAGCATTCCATCTATTAAAATATAATTAATTCCACTTTCCCACATCCCAAAGACCTAAAATTGTAATATTGCCAGTTGGCTCCCACAAATAAGCCATTTGACCGTTAGACTCCATTCTCCCATCACGCGCGTCAAAATAAAAACTCCTAATTCTGAACATTTGGAGCTGCAGAACAGCACCATGCTCAATCTGAGGAGCATTGAAACCCTAGAAAATGTCAATACCAAAGAGAATGACAATGGACCAAACCAGAAGATTTCGGA